TTCGATCGTCGTTGTCACGACTCCACCCCCCGTAGGTTGAGGATGCAGAGTTGGCGCAAGTTGCGGCGGTGAGCGCGGGCAACAACGAGGAGGTGGGCGAGATGATCGCAGAAGCCATGAGCAAGGTGGGGCGGCGCGGCGTGGTCACGCTAGAGGAGGGCAAGAGCGCGGAGAACAACCTGTACGTGGTGGAGGGCATGCAGTTCGACCGCGGGTATCTCTCGCCCTACTTCGTCACCGATACCGAGAAGATGGCCGTCGAATACGACAACTGCAAGGTACTTTTCGTTTTTCTCCCTCTCCTTTTCCACGCGCCCCCCAGCCCACCTTTCCCGTTTTTCACTTACACTACTTTTTCGTCTTCCTCCCCTGCCTCGCAAGTGTCCGGTATTAGACCGTTTGCGCCGGGTTTTGTGTCCTCGGAATTTTGAAGAGCAACGGAGTGCCCAATGAGAATAGTCCACGTTACGACGCATTTTCTTAAACCTCTGAACGTCCACGTAGTCAAAGTATTTTCTCTCTGTTACCTCACCCATCAGTAGATTTGTCATAACCTTCTTGCGCATGCCTCACCTCTCCACTCCTCCCACCCTTCTTTCCCTCCTTTTTGTCCCGTCTCCCCTCCTCTTTTCCTCTCCTCTCCCCACCTGCGCAGCTGCTGCTGGTGGACAAGAAGATATCGACGGCGCGCGACATCATCGGCATTCTCGAGGACGCGATCCGTGGCTCGTACCCGCTGCTGATCGTGGCGGAGGACATCGAGCAGGAGGCGCTCGCGACGCTCGTCGTCAACAAGCTGCGCGGCTCGCTCAAGGTCGCGGCGCTCAAGGCGCCCGGCTTCGGCGAGCGTAAGAGCCAATACCTCGACGACATCGCCATCCTCACCGGAGGTACGCTTACGATGCGGGTTCGCCGAACCTAGATCGGTGCGAGCGCAAGAGCCAATACTTCAACGACATCGCCATGCTCACCGGAGCTACGATGCGGGTTTCCCACCTCTTGTCAATACCGCAAGGCTCCCTGCCGGTTGCGTGTCCTCGAGGGTGGTGTAGTTAGGCTAGGCGAGTCGGCGAGATCCGACAGGGTTTTGGGTTCGGAGCGGGCAGATGGCGGGTAAATGCGGCAACGGGGAAAGCGTGATCAAGGGACAGGGATGCGAGGAGGGAAAAGTAGGAGGAGAGGTTTTCAGAAGAGGGAATTGAGGTTTCTCATCGCATGTCTGATGTGTCGGCTCATTCGGCCTCAACCCATCCTCCATCCATTTCAGGTACGGTGGTGCGCGAAGAGGTTGGACTTGCGCTCGACAAGGTGGGGCGCGAGGTGCTGGGCTCAGCGGCCAAGGTGACGCTCACCAAGGACGCCACCACCATTGTGGGCGACGGGTCGACGCAGGACGCGGTGGCGGTGCGCGTGTCGCAGATCCGCAACCAGATCGAGAACGCGGAGCAGGAGTACGAGAAGGAGAAGCTCAACGAGCGCATCGCCAAGCTGTCTGGCGGCGTCGCCATCATCCAGGTGAGCGATTCGCGTGCGACTTGTCACCTGGTTGATGATGAGCGGACCTGCGACAGCCTACTCTCGTAACTGATGTATCCGCGCGTCATGTTCCCGCCCTCACTTCAGGCGTAATGAACCTCCTAGCCTGAGTAGCTCCTTACCTCCTCCTCCTACCCTCCCCGCGCCCATGTGAACTTCGACAATGCGATCCTTTCTTATGACGCCTCGAGAGGAGGACGCGCTGATCGTATTCAACTCTGAGGCACCTCCTAACCTTGCCGTCTTCCCCACCTGTCCACGCAACCTCTTGTTACCAGGTGGGCGCGCAGACGGAGACGGAGCTCAAGGAGAAGAAGGTGCGCGTGGAAGACAGCTACTCTTGAGACGTGAGGTTTGAAGCACTTGATATCCCTTCCTTTTCCCCCACGTCCTGTGTGCTGCAATTTCTCGTCTAACAGGTGGGCGCGCAGACGGAGACGGAGCTTAAGGAGAAGAAGCTACGCGTGGAGGACGCGCTGAACGCCACCAAGGCCGCGGTGGAGGAGGGCATCGTCGTGGGCGGCGGCTGCACGCTGCTGCGCCTCTCCACCAAGGTGGACGCCATCAAGGACACGCTTGTTGGCGAGGAGCAGAAGGTGAGTGTGGCCGAGGCAGTGTGGATAGTTGCTTGAACGCGCCTGTGTTGGGCAGAGTGGGATGGTGTGCTGTGTCAAGTCTGTTGCGCCTCTCCACCAAGGTGGGCGCCATTAAGGACGCACTTGCTGGCGAGGAGCAGAAGGTGCGAATGCGAAAGTGGGGTCGAGTGAGTGGTATCATTGGGGGTTTTGGTGATGTGATTCTGTGAGCGCCTTCTGCATTTGAGGCTGCTGCGCCTCTCCACCAAGGTGGGCGCTACCATAGACGCCCTCCCTCACCATTGAGCACAAAGTGCAAGTGGGGTTGAGTTCCAGTTGGTTGGTGTGTTGAGGGAGCTCGAGTGAATGCTTATGTGCAATGCTTATGTGCCACTTTGAGCCTCCTAAACCATGACACATCCAGGTGGGTGGCTGCACGCGTTCTTCAACCTCTCCTTCCCCATCCATCCATAAGCCTCCCTCGCCCTTACCTTACCCTTCCTCATCCATCCCTACACCTCCTCCCTCCTGATCAGGTGGGAGCTGACATTGTGAAGCGCTCCCTGAGCTACCCCCTGAAGCTGATCGCCAAAAACGCAGGTGTGAACGGCAGCGTTGTGGTCGAGAAAGTGCGCAGCAACCCCAACCCCAACTTCGGGTACAACGCGGGCACGGGCGAGTATGAAGACCTTATGGCTGCGGGTATTATCGACCCCGCTAAGGTGGTGCGGTGCTGCTTGGAGCACGCGGCGTCTGTGGCTAAGATCTTCCTCACGAGTGACTGCGTGGTGACGGATATTAAGGAGCCTGAGGCTGCTGCGCTTCCCAACCCCATGGATGCTTCAGGTGAGGGAGGGGTTGCAGGTGGTGGGGTTTGCGGGGAAAGTTCTGGAGGGGAATGGGAGGATTGGTGCGTAGATGAAGGGTGGTTGGTTGTGTTATTATGGTCATTTGTGTGGTTTCTTCTCTCATTCGTGTGTGTTTTTTCCATGTGTCTATGCAGGTTATGGTTACTAGGAAGCTGGTTAGGTTCCAAGCAACACACTAGAACCTTTGCTGCTATTTAGAACCTGCCAGATTTAGTGGTATCGTGGCCTGCAGCTGCAGTGCATCTATTTTGAGATCCCAACAGGGCATGTTCGACTATCCTTCTTACCAGTAATTGTGCTCTTTTCATCTTACCACACGTTTCATTGATTGCATGGTAAACTTCTAGTTCTGGTATAATGTGGAAGGCCAGTCTGTGAAGTGAAGGTGGCTGGTAATGTTACTAGTGCTGTTACAGCTCTAATTTCAAGCAACCAGCCAACTCAAACTACTAAAATATTTCACCTGCTCTAATAAAGTAGAGAGCAGATAAGACGAACAAGCAACAGTGCAACCAGCAGCACTGTCATAACCTAAACTAGAAACTAACAGTAGAGCTGCAAACCAAAAAACAACTACAGCAAAAAGAGCAACCAAGGCTGGCAAAGTATTCAGTTCCTCCCAGGTGTGGTGTAACTCCCTCCAGTGCACAGGTGGCCATATCCCTGCCAACGTAACTTGAGCTTCATACTGTACCATGTGGCAGGACCACCACCACCTCACTCAAGTACGGTACTTGTCCTCCTCAGGTATCAGATCAGATCCCATGCAATACCGCCTCTTGCATACCCTTGACAGTGGCCCAGCGAAGATTCAAGGGGTGCCAGCCTGGCAGGTGCCTCATACAGGGTGGAGCATGCATGGTGCAATGCAATGTGCCCAGCCCACCGTTTCCTTGTGACCCGTGCTGTGCCGTGCCGCATCACTGGCAAAGGTCGGTAACCCATGCAAGGTCTGGCAGAATGGCTCCTGCGTACTCTGACGAATCCGAGGCTGCTCTCGGCATTCCCAAGGGACATCTGCTCCCTGCCCCTGCTGCTGCTGCAGACACCGCTAATGCAGATCCTGCCCTGTGAAGGGACCGTCCAGCCACCCCAGAAGTAGCTGCTGCAGCTCCGGTCGCCACTGCCAATGGGAACATTGTGCCAGGGGCAGCAGCAGCAGCAGCAGCAGTGGCGGCAGTGGCGGCGGCGGCGGCGGCGGGGGAAGCAGCAGCGCGAGAGGAAGGCATAGACGCATGGCTGTGCAGGTGCATACCACCCATGTGGTGCAGAAAGTCAGGATGGGGCACAGCTACAGGCATCGGCATGGGCATATGCAAGGGCATGGACATGGGCATCGGCATGGGTGTTGGCATGCTTGTTGGGATGGGCGTGGGCGTGTTAGCAGCGGTGCTGTTGGAATGGCTGAGGGAGGCATGAGCTGCAGCGAGGGTGAGGTATGCGTCGGCCTCGGCTGAAGTCAGTCGGAGCGGCTCCGAGTGGGCCACTGGAAGGCTTTTGCTTGCTGCCAGACGCACATTCACTGCGTGCTGCTGCTGCTGCTGCTGCTGATGCTGATGCTGATGCTGATGCTGATGCTGCTGGAATTGGTGCTGCTGTTGGTGCTGCTGCTCTTGTTGCTGCTGCTGCTGCAGTTGGTGCTGCAGCTCCATGTTCCGAAAGACTGCGACCAGCTTCTCCATATGCTCGGAAGTGGCGCCGCCAGCGCTCGCAGCGAAACGCTCCAGCTGGTGCCGCTGCAGCTGCTGCTGCTGGGAGTGCAGGTGAGCGAAATTGGGCGGGGCGGAATGCACCGAGTGCAGATGCGGCGGATAGGGGAAGTGCATGGTTGATGCGGGCGACAGCTGATGCTGATGCTGCTGCTGTTGCGGCTGATGCTGAGGCTGCTGCATATTCTGCTGCTGCTGAGTAAACTGCTGCTGCTGCTGCTGCTGCTGCTGCGTGTCGAAGGCATGAGCAGGGAGCGTATGAGCCGTCGCAGACAAGGCAAGAGCGTTCGTATGAGCTGACACGTGGGGACCTAGTGGGTATCCTTTTGAGGGGACAGGGTAGAAGATAGAGGGGTAGGGGTGGGAAGGCGAAGGGGTAGGGGAGGGGGAAGAGGAGGGTGACGGAGAAGGTATGGCAGCAAGTTCGGGGGTGATGTGCGCAAAGGACAGTGCTGCATGCTGATACTGCTCATACTCTCCCTGCTGCTGCTGGTGTTGCTGTTGCTGTTGATGTTGCTGCTGCTGCTGCTGCCGCTGTTGCACAAGCACGGTCGGAGCCGCACCCCCAGGTTGGTGCGGTGAGGTATGTGGGGAAGAAGAGGCCGGAGTGAGGGGCGGGGTATGGGGACCCGCGCTGCTGCTGCGGCTGACGTCGCACGGAAACACACTCGTGGGCGACGAGTCGTCCACGACCAGCATCCCCGTTTTAGACTGTTCGTTATTACACCTTGACTTTCCACCATCAGCCGCTCCTACACCGCCAGTAACGCCAGAACCTCCGCCAAACGCGGCGGAGCCGTCCCCTGCGGAACCGTCCCCCAAGGGGGCTGCCGCAGCGGCGGCAGCAGCGGCGGCGGCAGCCGCCGCCGCGGAGGGCATGAGGCGCAGCTGCGCGGGCGTGTGCGCGAAGAAGCAGACCCGGCGCTTGCAGTTGCGCCCGTCCTTGCACGGCTGCGTGCGATAGCGCGACGGGTGTAACCAGCACTCGAACACCCCGTGCGCGTACTCGCACGCGTCGCCGCGCCGACACGTCCCCTTGCGGAAGTCTGGGCACGCGGTTCCGCTGTAGTGGTACCTCCGCGGGTCGCGCCGCCGCGCCTTCTCCCCCGGGTGCGCGAAGGGGCACTCGGTCCAGTCGTGGCTGCGCCCGCGCATGCAGCGGCGGACCTTGAACTCGAACATGCGAAACTCGTCGTTGGCGTACCCGTCGACCGCCTCGCCGTCGTCGCTGTCGTTGTTGCTGGGGAGGAAGCGCCGTAGACCGCCCATGTCGGGAATTCCGCTGCACCCGCCACCGCCGCCGCCACCGCCGCCGCCACCGCGGCCGCCGCCTCCGCCGCCACTGGTGCTGTTTCCACTGCTCGCTCCTGCGGACGCGGATGATCCTCCGCCTCCGCCGCCTTGCCGCCGGGCGGATGTAAAGCCGCTCCTTCCAGAGCTGCCGCGATTGCCGCCGCCAGTCGCGCTGTTCCCGGTGCTGCTCGCGTCGTAAGCGAGAGTCATGGAGTCGCACACGTCGCACGCGGCGACGCTCCTCTGTCCGGATGTCTGCAGGTCCTGTTGGAGCTCGAAGGAGGATCGACGTTGCTGCTGCTGCTGCTGCTGCAGGTCGATACGGTAATGCGCCGCAAGCGTATGTTCCGCCACCTGCTCGTGGTCGTGCGCGTGTCCCGGCGGGTGACCCTGCGGCGGCGCGGCCTGCGCGCGGAGTTGCGATTGATAGTCACGTTGCGGAAGGCTCGCGAGCAGCAGCGCGACGGCGTCCATTCCCCCGACCTCATCCGCCGCGCTCGACGAGCTAGTCGACGACCGACGGCTACCACGCTGCTGGTCCTGCTGCTGCTGCTGCTGCTGCTGCTGCTGCTGCTGCTGCTGCTGGATGGCATGCTGCAGCTGTAAAGCTGCGGCACCACGCTCCATGGTCCGCCCCCCTAGAGTCTCGCCTGGCAGCGTCGCGTCACCGCGTTCGCGGTGGTAATCGCCACGGGGGGCGCTGTGGTTGCCCTCCGCCATGACGAGTGGCGGGAGTTGCGCGCACTGCGCGGAGCACGGCTCGCGATCCTGCTGCTGCTGCTGTTGATGCTGCTGTTGCTGCTGCTGCTGCTGCTGCTGCTGCTGCTGCTGCTGCTGCTGCTGCTGCTGCTGCTGCTGTTGCTGGTAATAGAAATTTAGCGAATCGGCATCCAATACGTCCGACGATCTAAGAGCCGATAGAATGCGCGCACGCCAAGCGCTTGGCATGGCCCCGCCGGTTGCGGCGGCATCCCCGGCGGCGCTGCCGCGGGAGAAATATCTTTGTGAAGCATCTTCCTCGGCCCTCGCGCCAGGCTCCGCGCCCATCATCATCCGCGATACAAGTCTCCCCGGAAACACAAATTCGCCGCGGGCGGCCGCCGCAATTTCCGGATCGGAAGAGTCTCGAGCATCATGTACCCCACAGTAATCATTCAGGGTTGCGAGTCGTGCATCGACGGTGGTCGGGGGCACCGGGTGCGTCCGAAAAGACAATTCGTGACAATAGTTTCCATCTCCAACTGAGTGGGAGTTTATTCGTGTAGAGACTCCTCCAAAAAATCTGCTGCCTGGCGCACATGCGACGGCGACGGCGTTTCCGTCGCTAGCAATAGCGTTTCCTTCGCAAGAAACGAAGGCGACGGAGGAGGCGGAAGAGGTACTATAAGCCAACATGGGTAGAGAACCCTGGCTGAGAGCTGGGTGAGTAGTATGCGCCTTTTCCGAAGAGGCGGCACGGAAACGAGTAGGAGGGAGGGAGGACAAGCCGCAACCCCCGCTAAGGCTGTGCAGATCAGGAGCCTTAAAATAGTCGTTATGCGCCACGTACGACATAGCTGGGAGAATCAAGCTATTACCAGCCCGGAAGAAAAAAAATGCGGGTACAAAAATTGACAGAAAATCCGCAAAGGCTAAATGAATGAGCTTGAAGAAGACCTGAGGACAAGCAGGCGTTTCGGGCCAATAGTGTACCGCGCTTCTTGCGTGCGCGTTGAATTAATTCCGTGCGAGTTCGACAACAACTGGTTCCTGACGATTCGCATGCAAACACTTCGGTCCCGGACGTGGTCCAAGGCACACGATTAATTATGATGCACTCAACGCCGATTATCAGAGATAGTAACCATGCGAGAGTGTTTACTGATGAATGAGAAAGAAACAGCGCATGGCAGTGGACCGAGTGGGTGGCCTGTGGAATGGGAACGCGAAAGGGCACGGACTGGTGGAAACAACGAAGGTCCCGTGGTGATAAATGCAAGTTGGCGAGGGAATGCCGAAATGCTGCTGCTTTGCTCGGAAAACAGAAAAAAGCCGGAAAGTTGGCGTGGAGAGAACGCATCATCATCCGCTGCTACGAGGAAGGAAAAGAGAGAAGCTGGGGGGAAGATGCAAAAGCATGAGGGGCAAAGGAAATTCGGAATCGCGCGGCATCATTACAGCTTCCGAAATCCTAACAAGCACTGTGGGCATCTCGGGGGCTCTTGACGATTACAAAAACTGTAGACTTAAAAAAACATTCACAGATCTGGCAGAGAAGTGTGAACCTCAATCTGTACCTTTACCACCAAAACGACACCTATCTGGTACAGATGGAGTGTATAGCTCTGGTAACTTAACTAGTGAGTAGAATAGTGAAGGCTCGTAAGTACAGTAATGCCCCAAAACGTTTTCACCCACTCTGAGGGCATTCCCCGAGTCGAGAGATCCCCTGGCGCGGAATCGGGGATGAATGAGAAGAATGCAAAATGCAGTGGAGGGGAAGGAAGTGGAGAGGCCAGAGTCACACACATACACACGGCGAGGCAAGGGCTCACCACACATGCCACGCTGCATGCTGGCTGGCAGACACCCACACCCGCAGCTGAGTTGGCGGAAACTGGCAGGGGGATGAGACGGGGCGGGGGGCGGATGGGGGAAGCGCGGATCATGACGAGAACATTCGCCGCACGCGTGACGCACGCTTGGGAATGCGCCGCGGAAACCCGCAACGTCCACTTCAGCCGCAAAGGGACAGGACAAACCATTTTGGCATTGACAGACTGGCTGACCTTGCTTGAACCAAAGTGAGAGCTCAGCCGCGTCGCATTTCGCGGCAGAGTTCTGTGTCTGCTTCACGAATGAGAGAAGGCATCCTTCCCCCCCAAATCCAACAAATGCAGTCCTTCATGCTTGGGGCAGCATGAAACAACTCACACGTGGAGAGATGCTTTAGAGAAGAGCATAAAAATAACAGTGTATTAAACATTCCCACCTTCAGACTCCTTGGATCAAGCGATTTAAAACACTGTCCTATCGTGCTTAAGTGACATCGATATTTACACAAAATGTCATGTGCCTGTAGCTTTTTGCCGCGAAATACAACGCTTTCCGTGATCGTTTTGTGATTAAAACCAACTCCTTGACCCGTGCGGGCATGTGGGTAGGAACCCCCATGATCTCCAGATCTAGGGGAGAAAAGGTCGGATGATTTGCTCTATGGTTATTGCGGGCAGTGTTTTTTTCCTGAGAGATCGTCTCCCTTCAGTCGATGAAACGGATGACAGGGAGATAGCGCAGACGTCAGCAATGCCTCGTGTAGCTCGACAACGAATCAAAACCAGGAAAAACATAGCTTCACGTGATAGTCATGTGGCGATAAACGGAAAAATCTGTTTCGTAGTGGTAAAATCACGTGATGTTATCATTGCAAGAAACACTAGGTCCCAGCAGCATCACTCAAAACTCTGACCGAATGAATGATCAGCCAAACATGCAACATGGTGCACAAACATTCAGCGATAAGAGCTATGGTTGGCAAACAATGCTACACGTCCGCATTCACATTGTCGACCAGAACCTCGAATGTGTCATCATTATTTTTGGACCCAAAGGACAAGTTTGTGCTTCGGATAAGACTGTAGCCCCCAATACATATTGCATATCTATAGTGAAGTTAACTTGCTCAATATATTGATATATAATATCCCTGTGGCAGGGAATACCACCAAATGGCAGTATACGTGTGTGCACGGCACACCAGCACAACACGTAGGGGACATGTCAAAACATATTGTTCTGTTCATTTTACTCTATGTTGTGTACGGTTCTTTCCCTAAAGGGTTCAACATTTCACTCTCGATAGTCTTGTATCCCTCTCTCTTACATAATCGACATTCCTCACCTAGCTAGTGATTTTAACATGGTACTAAGAGCATAATGCTCCTTAAGACCGAATTTTTAAATGGGCCTACCACTATTATTTCGATCTGCTGGCCGGGTCGCGCCCCTTCGAGAAACGCGAAATTTGAAAACATGCCATAGGCGAGACGGTTCCTTTTCTGCCCTGGACGCGATTTTTCTAGTCACGTGCGACCCCCCCCCCCCCCCCCCCCCCCCCCCTGACCGCGCCCTAGTTGCAATGTGCGCCTCTCGCGCGGCCCGTCAGCCCCTACGCCCGGTCCCCCCTCGTTCCTGCTGTTGCGCGCGCCACTCACGCTGACCGCCAGCCCCTAGCACGCACCTGCTGCGCGCTCCTTTTGAGTTGCTCCGCGCGCACCTATTGCGCGCCCCTAGGTTGCTAGCTCACAGCCCGCACGCGCCTACTGCTGCTGTGCGCCGGCTGCTACTGCTACGTATCGTTGCTGCTCTGCCACTGTGTCCGAGCCACGCCGCCCAACCCGAGCTGTCACTGCTAGTGCTACTTCAACTAGTGCTGCTACAACTAGTACTACTGCTGCTACAGCTAGTGCTACTGCTGCTGCTGCTATTACTGCCCTTGCTACAGCTGCTAGTGCTGGCAGTGCTACTGCAAATACTGTTGCTACAGCTAGTGCTACACCCGCTGCTGCTACTACTGCCCTTGCTACAGCTGCTACTACTGGCACTTCTACTGCTGCTACTTGCTGCAGCTGCTCCTCCTTGCTACTGCTGCTGCTACTTGCTGCAGTTCCTCCTCCCTGCTGCTGCTGCTGCTGCTACTTGCTGCAACTGCTCCACCTTGCTGCTGCTATTTGCTGCAGCTGCTCCTCCTTGCTGATACTGCTGCTACTTGCTGCAGCTGCTCCTCCTTGCTGCTGCTACTTGCTCCTCCTTGCTGCTGCTACTTGCTCCAGCTACTCCTCCTTGCTGCTGCTGCTGCTCCTAAGCACCGGCTGCTGCTCCTGAGCGTCGGCTGCTGCTGCCGCTTGCCGCTGCTGCTCCGCCACTGAGCCCGAGCCGGGCCGCCCTGTCCGAGCCGCGCCGCCCAACCTGAGCTGTCACTGCTGCTACTGCTGCAA